AGTGTTGCCCATTAGGAGTATTGTATATCACATTCCAACGCCAAGCCATTATGCAAAAGATGTCAGCTGTTTGTTTGAAAATTGTGGGGTTCCATATGCCGCTGTTGATTCGAGGGTGACCTTTTGAACCCGGCGACTGTCAGATCAATCCTCTGTGACCTTTTCACGTGCTCCCCAGTAGACACGAGCCAGACATGATACTGTGACTCTCATAATGGTGCATTCATGACCTTATGCAAACCTTGAAATGAGAGAATAAAAATGAGCAAAGAAATACCTTTTTAGATTTGTGATGCCGGCCCACCACTCCTCTTAGTTGCTGTTGCTGCGCCTGCCAAGCTCTCCGTTGTCGCCCGCCTCATATGCACTTTACAATGATGGTTTAATGGTGGCTGAAATTCTTATTGAAATGTTGGGTACTTGATTTCAGATGGAGGTAGACATAAGCAGGCTGCTCATTCCGTGAGTCTTCTATACCTTTTATTGTGCTGAAAAACACCTTGATCCATATAGGATGCGATATTTTTTCCTACTATGGCAAATGCAAAGTCTGCCCTCCTCTGATTGGCTTACCCTGATATTCTAACCCTTACCCTAACAGACCCAACCAACGAAGGCAGATAGTACTAGACAACAAATAACAAGAAAAGGTCACTTGGCTGGACTTCAACCTGTTGTGTGGTAGTTATATGCACTCCAGACATCAGCATACACGCAATTATGACAAGGGAGTGTTTGGATCTCTTAGTGGTGGTTAAGTCATGTGACTGGTGTAGTTTTACTTCTGGTAATTGCAATTGTGGTGTTTATTAGCATACAAATCATAAATGTTTGTTTGCCACAGAGTTTATTTTCTGCAATAATTCAAAACTAAATGGAGAAAGCCCATTGGCTTTTTGTTGGGGGGAAACAATGCAATGCTGACTTTCAGTTTGGCCTCCATAAATACGTCATCCCTACAGTTCTGAATTCATTCGTTAATTCCAACAAAATGAAGCGTAGGGGATGTAACGATCATTTTTGAAAGTTAATACCTAGTTGTTATATTAGTTGTTCATCAACTTTTATGAGCACTTCATGCTAACCATCAAGACCCATTTAAACTCATTTAGGCTGCTCTATGTAATGATCCCTTACTTTTGCACATGGGGAGACACTATCCCCCCCTCTCTACTCTTACCTCCCCCATTCTCTCCCTCCCTCTTACCTTCCTCTCTTTCTCCCATCTTTCTTTCTCTGCCAGCTCCATCTTAAAGCCAGGCTTTAATTTTGATCGGCGATGAAATGATTGCTCTCCTCTTTCGATTTTTCTTTTCTCCCCCTCCCTCCCCTCAGCAGTTGTCATAGAAACAGGTGTGTGTGTGTGTGTGTGTGTGTGTGTGTGTGTGTGTGTGTGTGTAAAAGTTTGTGCGTGACTGTGAACGTCTGTGTTCCAGTCAATCCCCTCAGCAGAGAGATTTATCACCCGGCTAAGCCAGGAGGGGTGTGCGTGTGCGCGAGATGGTCAAATGTGTGCTCATCTGTCTACCTTTGTAGCTTCCCTCTTACACACCTAAATCTCCCTCCGTATTTACACACATAAAAGTATTTTAGGCAGTGTGTTTTCCCAGTTTTATGTTTTTATCTGTGTGGGCCTAACAGTGTGTGTAATAGGTCCCCTGTCCCCTCATCAACCCCCCCCCCCCCCCATCACACACGCTCACACACACTCAGCCTAGCCGGTTGGATGACTTGAGATTGAGTGTGTTTGGTGGCTTAGGCCGGCCACAACTCTAATCCTCTGCACTCGTACAAACATAAACACACACTCGCACACATCCATAAAAGTCCCAGGTCCCTCCGCCACTAGCGGGGGGCTATGCGTGAGTTTGTGTGCATGCGTGGAGGGGGAGATTGCTCTGAGACACCAGAGAGGGAACGAGCGAAACTAACCCAATTTCCTGCTCCATTTCCTTTTTCGCGCGCCGGCCGCGTCCCATTCCACGGCGGGCCGGGTTGAACACCAGCCACCCTGCAGCCCAGGGTCATGCCTTTTACCTCGGAGTCACACACAGGAGAGGGAGAGAGCACTGTAAATAAATCATGCGCTCTGGCTCAAAATTACACATTCAATTTCTATTTTGAGTGACCTGTCTTCCTTAAAATCAGGTTCCATAAATGTCATGAATAAATAAGTATTCCAGAAAGGAAGTGTTCAAAGCTTAGGAAGAAGAAACTGAATATAAATTGTCAGCTTAATATAAGTTGGGAAATATGGATAACATTTTTTATGTTGATATCAATTGAGAAATTGAGTGGTCGTCATGAATGACACGACCCGTAAATCATCTTTGTCCCAACACAGCATGAATGAATGAATAACGTCACTAACATTGTTTTTCTTCCGCTGATATAGTACGCCTCAGCGACGAAGATCATCGGTGGCATCTGAAAATGAACTTGCTAGCATTACCTGAATGTTTTGCATGTCACTAATTTAAAAAGTAGCAGTGAGGAGAGATAAAAAGAGAAAAGCGGCTATGGGATGATCTGGAACTAGTGCGCATGTTCAGTGGGCCACATAGCAGGAGAGGCTTTCTCATTACACTGCATAGGTGCCAGCTTGGGGTCCAATATCCAGTCGTCATTATACTGTACATCCATGATTTTAGTAGCCATGTTCTTTGTTTATAATCATAATGATCATCAGCCTGAAACTGACTGAATTTGCGACTTTCTTGCTAGAATTAGACACTTTTTAGAGCTAGTGCTACAAGCTAGCTTCATTGGAAAATAGTTGGCTGGATTTTTTTGGGTTGGATCATTTAAATCTATCTTACTTTTGGATGTTTCTCAACGTTACCAACCCTAGCTTTAATGTAGCTAAGATGAACTTGCATTTGGAAACCCTGCCTGACGTAGTTCTGGAACCACTCCGCAAAAAACACATGTGAACTCTGAAAAATAAACCTTGATAGAAAACGGTCCGACATCAATCAAACAATGACTTTGGAAAGCTTATTTTGAAATCACAGAGCAATGATCCTGTTCCCTCAGACAACACCACCCTTTATGCTGATGAGAATGCACTGAATATATTGGTAAATAGTATGGGAATGGGACACAGCTCATAATGGCAAATGTGGACATATCCAGACATGTCGAACAAAAGCCTTATAACCAGGAATCACAGTGCTTATAGGTGGTAATAGGTGCAAACCTGATGCAGGTTTATGCACACTCATTTGTGCCGGATAAGTAATTTAGAACATGTACGCTCAATCTATGCTCCACCAAAAAAAAGGGTGTTTTCAGTGGAAGCTAGTGGAAGTTATTTGACATTGTCAAGTTCCATATGCCAACACCAACGGCACGGTCCAGTGGCAGTGACGGCACACACACACACACTCACACACACACACACACACACACACACACACACACACACACAGTCCCTGAGTTGTCTTGACCTAATTGAAGCCCAGCGGTCTGCCTGAGGTCATTCTCTTATACCTCCTTTATTTTAATGAGATTTTTAATTAGCATGTTAATTGCCTAACGTGATCAGTGGGGGTGACTAGCTAGCTGGCTAGCTGCTGTTGGCATCCAGCTGGGCCATAACACTGAGACTTTCCACTCTGCTGAGCAGCACCATGCCAGGCCGAGCTTTGCTAGGCTAGCCTGGAGAGGAAACGGTGGTGTGGAAAAACAAGTGCTGATTTTCTGCAGTCTCGTGTTGCATTTATGGCGGAGGCAAAGCTCTAGATCTAATTAATTGCCAGTTTATTCAAATGAGTTTCAATTCTCTGACACCCAGTTCATTTGCTGCATCCTTCTTATATTTAGGAAACAGTAGCAAGAGGCTACAAAGACAGCTTACTTCTATTTGCTACGGAACCATTTATATAGACCTGTACGGTTTGTAGCATTATTACACGCATATAAAAGGACTGCTTCTGCAGAAATCTGTCTTTTTCTCTGCTGTCTTACCACCCTGAAGATATGTTGTCATACTGTATAAGACAAATCCAGGTTGAGGGCGGTTAAGTAAGTAAACAAGCCACCATTACTGTGATGAATATTACTTCTAAACAGCTTTTAAGAAACTGTTAATTAACAACAATAAACTTCAGCTATGAAAAAAAAGTAAAATTCACAAGGCTCTACGACATGGAATCATTTTCATTTAATTAAATTATGTTTGGTATCTGATCAATGCAAGAAATCAGGGAAACTACGTTCAGTTCAACTTCAACAATTGCCGGCGGCGCTAGAGCACAAACCAACTGGCATATTGGTCGATACAGTTATTTACTCATCCAACATTACATCCACTCTCCTTTTAGCTCTGTTTTGGTCTGTGACCTTTACTTAAGAAGTTATAAATAGAACTTGTTGAAGTGACCTGTACCATAGCTGAATTTGGCTCTTGAAACCATGGCAATGACATAAAGAATTGGTTGGAAGGTCAGAGAGAGAAGCAAATAAAAGAGGAAGCAATAGTCTTTTTTAGGTGTATATTTAAGGAGAGAATATAAGGAGAGCCGAGGAAAATGTATGAAACATGAAAGGTGGAGGAGGTGGCCAGATAGATGGAAAGTGATTGTCTCTCTTCCTCCTCATGTCATTCTGTTAACTTCACTCTAGCAGGAACTCAAGGCTGCGCGGTTATGAGGCTAGCGTTTATAATTTACCACTGCTGGTGTCGGCTTCCTTATTGAGCCTGGCCTTCACTGACAGACACAGACACAGAGGAGCTTTTGATTTAGCCTGGGAATGTTCTGGCGTGTGTGGACCCTGTGAATCATCCTCTCTCTCTGTCTCTCTCTGTCTCTCTCTCTTTCTCTCTCTCTCTCTCTCTGTCTCCCTTTCTTCCATACCCCTCTCTTATCATTTCTCTCCCCGGCTGCTTCCTTTCCTTCCATCCTAATTCTTTCATCTGTCTTCCCCTCCATGCCTCCTGTCATCTCCGTTCTTTCTAATCACCGCTCTCTTCTCCTCCCTCCCTCCCCTCTCTCCAGTCAGATCTACTGTATAGAGAATGCCCATGGCCAGCTGGTGCGTGACCTGGACTTCAACCCCAACCGCCAGTACTACCTGTCCAGCTGCGGAGACGACTGCAAGGTCAAGTTCTGGGACGTCCGCAACGTCCAGGAGCCCATCAAGACCCTGGAGGAGCACTCGCACTGGTGGGTGGATCGGCGGGGGTTTACAGAGAGGTTCAGTTTCGGGGGTGGGTAGTGGAGTGGGTACTGTCCTCGAACCAGAGCCCCCGAGTTCAAGTTACACTGTCGGCACGTATCCGTCCTTCTCAAGTGTCACACTAACCTGCTGTCATCCTCCCATGTTTGGGTGGGAATGAATGGAGTATGACATTGTTGAACTAGAGGCAGTTAGTCTTTGGATTGTAGTATATGTTTTTAAGAGGCCAATAATCAATTTAAATTGAATATGAGCTTTGTTAATTTAAGGTATTTTCCTTTGGAATATAATGCAGAGGAGAGATGATTGCTACACTGAGGGTTATTATAGACCTCATTGTGTCATTCCTGAACATGCATGTACTTTGGTCTGACGTCAATCAGAAATGTAATGCCTTAGGAAAGCTTAGAAATTGAATATTTACTATTATCAGAAAGGTTTTGCAGGAAATTAAACATATCTTTTTTTGGAGCACTGCTCCTTTAATGCACCCAAAAATGAACGCTGTATCTGACTTATATCTCTCCAGCTCACCACACACAGTGCGGTTCACTCCATTTGCTGTGCATCAAACCTTTCAGCAATTTTTAATGACACTTGTCAATATGGTGAATATTATGGAAAGCCCATGCAGGAGAATTGGGTGGTGAAATAATTCACCCTGGATGGCCATTATAATGAAAGTTTATGCTGATGTACCTCATAGTCCGAGGCGACTGCCAGATTTACAAAAAAATAAAAAAATCCATTCACCTCCATTTCTTGGTAGAGAGAGGAGACAGACATTTTAGAGTTGGATACCTCAAAATCTGGACAAATGGAACTTAAACTACGTGCATGGCTACATACACCTAGTTTAACAGATGAACATGTTGTTTCTTTAAAGAGATACCCCATCTTTTTATATTTTCAAATAGTGCATCACATTCCAACGTTTCCCCACAGCTCACTGAACTTGTCTTGGGGACGTAACATTTTATCTTCGATTGTATATTACATGGTCAGAATTCACGAGGAATAGATGAAAAAGCATTTATCATTACCTCAGATTTGACTTGAATGTGGGGGAGAAAGTATGTGTCGAATAATTATACTGTACCTGTGTAAGGGGTTAAAAAAGCCTGTCACACACCATGGAGTGTAATTCAGGCACATTCAGTAAAACCCAGTAACAATAATGATAAACATGGTGATAACTGCTTTGCTTCACTGTTGATTGGTTTCTGGTTTTATTAATGGCTTTATCTCCTAACTAATGAAATGCCCTAACTACTGCTGGTGCAATAAAAGGTAGTAATACACTAATTACTAATTAAATAGGCCGCTACTCATTTTGTCAGTGAGGGTTGAGTCAGTGTGGGTCGAAGGCAGCCCAGTCCTGCACTAGCTCAGCTTCTGTGAGGCTTCGGGCGGTGCTAAGAGCTGAACATAGTGTGCTGTGTGTGTGTGCGTGTGTGCGTGTGCGTGCGCATGGGAGACACTCTCTCTCCTGTGTGAGCTGAATAGATGATCAGTGTGTCTGCGAGCCAAACTGGGCTACTGCTGCAGCACACCAATAAATAAAGATAAAGGCACACACACACACACACACACGAGTGCAGGCGTTATCTCCAAAAGAAAGATAGACTTAGTGAACATATCCATAACTGTAGATAGCTGCAGATGGGATCTCTTCAGATAGGAGGTGTGTGTGTGTGCGTGTGGGTGTGTGTATGCCATCTAATCTGTGTTTTTTTGCAAGGACTCTCTTTTTATCTCTGTGTGGCTACATGCATTTGAGTGTGTTCAATCATTTCTATAATGCATATGTCTGCGTGTATTCGTCCTGTGTACACTTCTCTTTAGTGTGATTCATATATATGTGTGTGTGTGTGTGTGTGTGTGTGTGTGTGGGTGTGTTGGGGCGCTCATTTTTTTTCCAGAGCGCAGGCAGGATATGGCCTCAGGGCTGCTGGGAGTATTAGGGACTATTTTTTAGCAGGGAAGCGGATTAGGGGAGCACGGGGAACGGCGTGGCCGAGGCTGATTTCCTGTCAACAGTCTCCGTTATCCCTCAATCCCGCCCCGTGAGGGAAACTGGTACCGCACTCTGAGCTGTGCCCCTGGCTCACAGAGAGAGAGAGAGAGACACATGCAAAGAGAGAGACAGAGAGGATGAAAAAGAGCAAGAGAGGGAGACACGTTGACAATCAGAGATATAGAAAGAGGGGGACACAGGCGGAGAGAGGAAGGTGTGGAGGATTGAAAAAGTGGATCAGAGCAACAAATAAAACCCGGATGAGGGAGATGATGATCATCAGCTCGTGAACTGAACCCAAACATAGACTGAAAAGTACCAAATCCTCAATTGTTGGCATCCGAGTCTACACCCAGAGAGGCATAATTTGTGTGAATCCCACTGTGAGAACACTGCAATTTCTGCATCATTTGCATGGGCACGAGTGTGTGAAAGAGAGATAGAGATGGACAGTTTCTCTGCACAACTGTGTGTGTGTGTGTGTGTGTGTGTGTGTGTGTGTGTGTTTCAGCATGTGTGGTCTTCCCGTAGATGTGGTTTTACTCGCTATAGTTTTGTTCAGAACAAAAGATCCACACACAGCTCTTAAATACACCCATGCATGAATGTACTGTACCCCCCCACACCGCTGCACTGTTTAAATGTTGACTGGTGCGTCTTTTGTTTTTTTCCCGTCCCAGGGTGTGGAGCGTCCGCTACAACCACAGCCACGACCAGCTGGTGTTGACGGCCAGCAGTGACAGCCGCCTCATCCTCTCCAATATGGTGTCCATCTCATCGGAGCCATTCGGGCACTTGGTGGACGACGAGGAGCTCAGCGAGGGGGAGGACAACCACCAGGAGGACAAGTAAGGGAGCAACTCGGGCTAGTTAGAGAAGGAAATGCTTCCACTCATCTAACAGTCGACATTAATTGCGGTTCATTACAGCTCCAATTTCTTGTATTTTTTCTCCCAGTTATGGTTTTCCAGGCTCTAAAAACGGAGTAATAATTAGTTTTTTTAGGGTTTGTCGCCAGTATCACTTGACTGTTATGTGAACCTTGAGGAGGTCACAGGTAAGTGTCTCAGGTTTTTTTAGTGCTCAGGAGAGTTTGTAATCACCAATACTGAATACACAAGAGGAAAATGAATTGAAATTGAGCGATACATTATCAGCTCCTCTGCCAATTATTGATGTTTATAACCATGTAATAACCATCCTTCATTGCCCCACTTCTCAAACATTAACAGGGTTGTTATTTCATTTGGGTGCATGCTGTAACTCCCATTCATTTTACGAGATGACACTTCCTTACTCTGCTTTTACCTGCTGATCCATGAATGACCCGAAACATCGTTAAAGTATTTGGACAGTAGAACCCCTTCTTTAGTTTGAATCTGTATCATAGTGGATTCTTTAAAGTTAAAGGGATGCTTCTGGTGTTTTGTAGTGGAGTTGTATGAGGTACTTCTCCATACTCTGTGTATTACTACAGTAGATGGAGTTTGGAGAAGCAGACAGGAAAACCAGCACAGCAGCGAAGCACTACTGTGGACGTATATATATATATATATATATATATTTCGAATATTTTCACCTCTTTACCTTGTTGTCAGACCGCCTTTCTGACGGGGAACTGAAGCCGATACCTATGCTCTCTTCAAAGCCACCAGACTCCAATCCTTTGACAAAAACAGTAACTTTACAAATAAGTCACACAATAACACAAAAGAAGTAACAGAAGATCAAGGTAGGTGTAGACCAGCAGTTCTGCAAGGTAACATTACTGTTTTGTCAATGGAGGCCTGTGGCTTTGAATACGGTGTAGATAACGGCTTCAGTTTACCAAAGGTAAAGCGGTGAAAATATTCTAAATATAGCGTACACTTCTACTGATATGGATTTTGGTTTTACATGTCTGTGTCTCAAAATTGGGGCGTGCCGACCGCCCTCTACTGTTGGTCATACGCCGACTATGGTTACCTCACCGGCGCAGACGGTCAGCTTTCACGACATCAAATCTTCTACGTTTTTTTTTCCTAAGTTATAGCTCCCTTGCATGTTTCTGGACGGCCACAAAGAGCCAAATGAAACGCACCGTGTGATGCTAAAGCATTTACAGAAACGCGCCGTATATTTTCAACCTCTCATCTAATATTAGTGCTCCCGCAGATTAAACTGCCTGAACCTTCCCTTTCACATACATTGCCATGATAAAAGTGGAGAGTCAAAACATTCAAAATATGTTACTGTCAAAATACTTGTGGAGTGTTTCTCCCTGGCATTTAGACATCATCCGTAATGGCTTCCATTCAGTGCTTTTCAAATCTGCCACTGTCCTCCCTCCATTATGGTCCAATTCCCCCTCTTATCCATGACTACCAGTTCTTACACTCAATGACTGACTCTCGTCTACAATTATCACCTCTTCTTCCTAATCACCAGCACTCAGCTTTGGTTTGAACCCTTCCACTACACTTAGTGACCCCTCTTGTATGTGCAGTACGTGTCCACTCCACAGCACCTGGACACTACGTACAGGACTTCTCCAGCGGTGTGACTATTTTCTGAATTCAAACGGTTGCTTTTCAGATTCAACACATCGTGAAATTTGCAGATTATTTTAAAGATAGCCAAGCAAAAGGAGTATGCTTTTTCTTTGCTAGGCCTGTTTATCAATACAACAAATCGTCACCAAGGTGACATAAACGCGCAGATGGGTAAAAACTGAAAAGAACAAACAACATGGAATGTCATGGTATGGACTCTTGGAGGAGATATTCCCTCGCTTGGTGTTTTCATGATGGTCTTGGCGAAGCCTCAACACGTTGCTTCAAAAATTCCCCATAGGTGTCGAACTGGGTTGAGATTTGGTGTTAACGGAGGCCACACGTACTAAACAGGAAGTGGCTGACTGATATCTGAGGGTCCGGTCTGAGTTCGCTGTATCAGATTACACTGCTAAATTGCCACACCACATCTTAAGTCTGTTACATTCATATTTCAACTGTTTTATATCAAAAGAAAGCAACTTTAGCACTACTTATATAAAGATACCTTCAGTTTATTAGGTACACTTAGCGAAAGCTAATGCAGTCAAATGCAACAGTCCTGTATTAAATCCTACCTTGATTAAGGTTTAAAGAGGATTAAAGGACCGGTGTGTGGGATTTAGGGGAGTCTATTGGCAGAAATGGAATATAATATTCACAACTATGTTTTTATTTGTGTATAATCACCTGAAACTAAGAATCGTGTTTTCGTTAGCTTACAATGAGTCCTTCATATCTACATAGGGAGCAGGTCCTCTTCATAGAGTCCTCCATGTTGCACCGCACCCTGGCTCTAGAGAGACTTTTATGTGTTTCATCTTCTACACTTGGAAAGGGAGGTGCTTGCGGACTTGTTCAGTTAGTTGTCTGAATGTGCAGCCTCATAGCTCGATGCCACTGAATCCTGCACACTGTTTCTTTAACTCAACTTCAGTCATTTTTGGAGGTTTTAGTTTGTGGTGCTGCCGCATGACATTGTGTTGAAGTGATATAATCATTGACTCATTGTAAATGGGCTTAACAAAATATTAATAACACGCCTCAGTATAATGCAATACACCACCTCTCTTTAAGGTGCAACGTGTAGTATCCAGCCTCATGCTCCTAACAAATAGGGGTCAGTATTTCATCTCTACCACTGGGTCCAGACAATCTCAATTTACAGTCCCCGGATATAAAAATAAAGAAAAGACAACAAACAGCAGGGCAAGAATACGCAACGTTTGGCCAAAGTGCTGTAACTCTTAGAGCCGGTCAAACAAAACACTATTTTATCATCTTCAGTTGTCTACACTTTGATATTTTAGGATTTCATTAAATCTCAAGTGGCAGAAACAAGAACACTATTCATATTTTTGTTTTCCGCCGTAGCGACATAAATTCAGCCAGGGTAAACCCCAGGGGCAACTGTGTGACCAGGCTCATTTCAGGAGATTCGAAGATTCAGCAGATCTTCCACGTTGAGCCTTTAAACAGTTTGAACAACAAAAAAGATCATTATCACCTTCATGAAGGTGTGATTTATCGCAGGACAGTTGTATTAGACAGAATTCATTTAATGCTAGAGGTACCTAAAAAAAAACAAACAACCGTCACTATTTATCACTATAAGCCGGCTACAAATGTTACCCTATTTGATACGTTCCATTAGCAGGTGAACTGTCCAATGACATAATCCTTAAGAACTCAGCCCAGCATTATAGCATCAGTCAAGTGCTCTCACACTTTCTTTTTCTTCCCCAATGATTCTATACGAGCGGAGCACTTAAGACTGTTTTATTTCAGGCCGCAGCCCGGGGGGAGCACCTACTGTCTGTGAGAAACAGTTAATGTGTAAAATAAATCCAAATATGTATGTCACTGTCTTCCCTCGGGACTACTTAAAGCAGTGGGGTTCGGAAGAAATTTGGGATGGCAATAATGCTAGATGATAATTCTAAAGGTTTTATTTATTGTCACATTGTTGGAGCAGTGGGAGAAGTGTCTCGGCACCGGGGAGGTTGTTTGTGTGCTGAAGACGGGGAGAGATGAAAACAAAGTAAATGCTCTTCAGTCTTCAGCAGGTACCTGTGCGTGAGTGTGTGCGTGAGTGCGTGAGTGTGTGTCTGTGTGTGTGTGTGTGTGTGTGTGCGTGTGTGTCATTTTTAAGAACGGGTTTC